GAGATATGGTTGAAATGGCAGGTTTTTAGAGAAGTAAATGGCAGCCTCCTCTAAGGTTAACCTTTACACTGTATTCCTATTTTTAACAGGAATCATTTTATAACTAAAGTAGAAATCCAGTAAAGACAACTTGCAAGTTGAACCTAAGTCACCTTTAGTAGTGATGAAATTTGACAGTGACATCTTAGGCCGCCCAGAAAAGCCAGTAAGAAGAGACCAATTCCGCCTTTTTAGAAGAATTTCAAGAGTCAGAAGTTTGCCCATTCTACCTTGGACTGGCTATTTGGGGCCATCTGAGCTTATTGGCACCTTTAAACTCTTTGTTAGCCATGATCATTAGTGGGAGATGGTGTGCATTTTCCATGATATGCACCCATCCCACTATTCCCAACTCCTCCAAAGGGCAAACAGCTGAGAGTAAATGCATGATGACATCGTTGCTGGGATGTAAACCCACTCCTGGAGGTTTTCGCTATCATCTTTAAAAAATAATTGTTTCTTTTTTTTTTCTTTCCCTTTTTTTCTTTTTGGTGAGGCAATCGGGGTTAAGCGAGTTGACCAGGGTCACACAGCTAGTAAGTGTCAAGTATGCGGTCTGAGTCTATCATTCTTTTAATCTTGTTATTAGAAAACACATGCAGGACCAGGGGTTTTTCTCTCTGGTTTATGAACCGCATTGCTTCCTCCGCGTTTTTCACGGGCATCATTGGAAGCACAGAATCAAAAATCTCTTCTTGTGTCACCTTGGAATTGGGATTGACGTTGCTAAGAATAGTTGGGGGAACATGTATTGTGTCTCCTCTCCAAAGGCTTTTGTTCTTCAAGTAAATTTGTTACCTTTTTAAGGTGAGGAAGGTTGATTTTCCTTTCATAACCAGCAGACTTTTTTTTATTTCTTCATCATAGAATTTCTTCACAGTTTCCTTAATCTTCTCCACAATCTGACTTTGGAGGGATGGCTCCCAGAGAATGTAGCCTGAACCAATGACCACAATTCACAGATGTCCCCCAGGTGACATGTCTGTGACCAAACATCAAGATGTAATATGGACCCTTTCCTTTAAGCTCCAGACTCACCGGGGTCAAATGCTTGGTGGCAGCTTCCACGATAATCTTCCTGACTCTGGCACTTCCAGTAGAGAGAATAAGGTCAAATCTTTGTTTCAGAAGTTCCCTGGTTTCTTCAGTGTCACCATTAATAACAGAGTATGGCTCCTTGTCTAAACACTTGACTGTGGCCAAGAGTGTGGCCGTCCTTTCATTTCATTTTGCTGGCTTGACTAAGATAGCGTTTCCTGCTGTCATGGCTCCTAAGAATGGCTGGATATTTAGGATAAATGGGAAATTCCAAGCCTTAATAAGTAAGAGCACTCCAAAAGGCTCTGAGTAGATATGGGCCTCCTCCATCATTATGAGGAGATTCTTCTTAGCTGGCTCTGGGATAAGCCACCCAGAAAGTTTCTGCGAGTACACAGTCAAATTCCTTGAGAATACTGAGGATTTCTTGACTATGCTGAATTTCCTTTTGTGAAGTTCCTGGGCTGGTGCCACTAGGATTTCCTTCTGGCCCTCCTGCCCCATCCTCTGTAGGGCCTGTGGTTGCTGGGGGCAGAAGGGCGGTGGTCATGAGTGGCCTGTCTGGAAGGGGGTCCAGCCTGCCACACCAGCTGCTCCAGGGAGCTGCCCGGCCCTGCAGGAGACCAGAGCTGCACTTTGGTTGCCTCATGAGACCAGTGTTAGGGCCAGGCCTGGGATTGGGCCTGCTCCGACCCCTCCCCTCACCCTTACCCCTCATTCAGCAGCCAGGAAAATAGTTGAAATTGTATTCCGAATAACCAGGGCCTCTTTGTTGCCTTTCACAGATCAAAGGTTGATTGAAGATTCCAGAATCCCATTTTGAACAAGATACACAATCTGTTCAATTGTTCCCCAGCTTGCATAGTTTGTGATAGCTCATACAGCTTTTCTTTGGGACTTCAAGTCTTCCTTTGACAGAATTCTAACCAGGTTAGTCCATGATTCATAATCTGCTTTATTTAGTCTTGAGAGTGAGCTGTGATACTTGACCTGGTCCATGCAACCTCTTTCTGGATATTGGTTTGGGAATGTGTAAACCGGCCAGGAAAAATAGCAAGAAGTCCTGAGTCTATTATAATCTGAATTTCTTTTGTAATTTTTTTATTTTAAATTTAAATATAAAATGAGAAAAGAAAAAAAAACTGCCATGTACACAGAAGACCATAAGAGAGGATTTAATATAAAGCAATAATTTTCCATTTCAAGAAAACCTATGTAATAAATACCACACATTGTTTTCAAAGCTGCTCAGCTTTGCTTTCTTAGTAGTTTTCTTTGTTCTGTGCTGTGCGCTTTTTACTTTATTTTAAAATTATATTTCTTATATTTTTATTATCACCTGAATTTGTTCATCTGTCCTAGTGATGATGTTTCCTACAGTCCTTAAGATAGGGCAGCTAGGTGTCAGAGTGAATAGAATGCCTGGTCTGGAGTCAAGAACAATCTTCCTGAGTTCAAATCTGTCCTCAGACATTTACTAGCTGTATGACCTTGGACAAGTCATTTAACCCTATTTGCCTCAATTTCCTCATCTGTCAAATGAGATGGTGAAGGAAATGGCAAAGCACTTCAACATCTTTGCTAAGAAAACCCCAGATCAGGTCACAGAGTCAGACCCAACTGAAATGACTGAATAACATAGCCCTTAAGAAAGGACTGTCTGTTGGCAATTCCACCGATCTTTGACGTTTCCCTAGCTGAGACGACTCTGGTTGTTTCTGGACATACAGACAGTGTTCAGTAAATACTTGTTTTGTTAAAGGGATGACACACTTAATAGTGTTGACTGAGACTTATTTGATCAGTACTTATTGATTGATGGATGAGGATCAATTGTGAATAGAACAATAACTCAATGTACCTCCTTGGGCTCTCCACTGAGGTGCCAGGTTCTGACTGTGACCTGCTCAGGAACAGAGGAAGGACCTTTTCAGTCGATGGCACAAGATTATGTCTGTTCTTGGCTACCAGTGCATCTCCATGGAGTCATTTCTATCTCCATTTTCCAAACCGTACCGGGATCTTAAGGCAGATTCATTGTATTGTTTCCTGCTTAGAAAAGCAATATTGAAATCCATTCTAAGGGCACTGAGTTACTGTGAAGGTTATTGCAACATTTTTTTGGGATAATGCCAGCCTGAATCTCTGTGCTATGTGGCCTCAGTGTGGATTATCAGAAATTTGTGAGATGGGAGAATGTGTCTCTCTTTCTGGATAAGCAAACCATTAATTTAGACCAAAGGCAGTAGCGTTCTGAATTTCTTCTTGAGTGGTGAAACAATGATTCCAACATAATAGTAATAGCTTGCATTTTTCTAGGACTTTAAGGTTTGAAAAGCACTTTCCCTGTGTTACCTCATCTAATCCTTACAATAACCCTAGGAGACAGGGGCTATTATTATCCCCATTTTACAGATCAGGAAACTGAGGCAAGTGGAAGTTACAGTGACTTGCCCAGTGTCACACAACTAGGAAAGTGTCCGAGGCAGGATACAAACCCAGCTCTCATTTCCAGGTTCAGCACTCTATTGTGCCATCTAGCTCAGGGAAAGCACTCCAACTTGGATCAAGTGCCATTCCAACAGCGATATTTTTTTTGTGTGTCTGGACAGAGGGCAGAATTGGGTGTAGAACAGTGTATGTCCCATTTCCCTCCTTCATACCCTCGCCTAGAGTCCCCCCAACTCTGAAATGTATGCCACACCTCTATCTCTTACAATCCCAAGCTTCTTTCAAAACCCAGTTCCAGTTCTAACCCACGACACAAGCATTTCTTGAATCTTCCAATTGCTGGGGACTCCTCTCCACTAGCATTCCCTTGTGTTTATTTTAATTAATCAATTAAAATTTTAATTTAAAAATAATTAAATTTTAGATTTTTAGATTTATTTTAGATTTAGATTGCTTAGATTTTAGATTTTTTAGATTAGATTTTAATTAAAATTTAACTAATTTTAAATTAAAAAATTTTAATTTTAATTTCAAGTAAAAAATTCAATTAATTAATTAAAATAAACACAAGGGAATGCTAGTGGAGAGGAGTCACCAGCAATTTTTATATGCATATAGAATGCAAATTCCTTGAAGATAGAGACTTTGCTTTGTATCCCTAGCATCCAGTGCCTGACACAAATAGTAGGCCCTTGGAAATGCTTGTTGGTTGATTGGAGTATGAGCTAAAATGGTAGACAGGAGATTTCATTCATCTCCAGGAGGACAAAACTGGGTTTGAAGCTGAACTATGTCAGGCCTAATATAGGAATTTTCTACAAACGGGACATCAGAAATAATTATGAGTGATGTAGAAAAAAAAATTTAAGTAACTACAAGGTCCTTCCAGCTGAGATGATTCAAATGAGGCAATCTAATTCTTATGCTCTTTCAAGTCCTAATATTGTTCGGGCCCTGCAATAAAGTGTTCTTCCAGTTCTAAAATTCTCTAACCAAATTGAGTACCAAGTGGGATTATTTCTAGTCAATGCACAGAGGAAAGCTGGGAGAGAAGTTTTAGCAAACTAAACTCATTTCCTCTAAATAACTTAAAAACTTGAAAGAATTTTAAAATCCTGATCAACCACCACCTTTATGTTACCTAGACCAGTAGAGTCCTAGAATGTTAGAACCAGAAAGGATTTTGGTAATTAATCAGTCGTGAAGTATTAATTAAGTACTTACTATGGGCCAGACACCACGTCAGATGCCAACAATAGAAAGACATAAATAAAACCGTCCCTGCTTTCAAGGACCTCTCATCCAAATGAAGGAAACGGCCCACCTATATATCTAGGTACCTCAGAGATGGCCATTATGAAGTGGGACAGAGGATCTATGAGGAAAGAATTGTAGAGAAAAAGTCTGAATGTGGTCTTTGAACCCTCAGCAGCCCCAAATGAAACAAAGCTGTTTTTTTGTGCACACGGCTATTTATTAAAAGGGAACAGAAGAGCTCATGACCTAGACCTAGCCTGTTGGAAGACAGACTGTACTTTGCCCTGGACACATATCCTCCTGGCAAGAGTTGGGAGGCTACGTCGGAGTTACAAGGGTCAGGGTAAACGAACCTGGAGAAGGAAGATCCCACGGAGCTGGGGCAAGCAGCTAGCCCATGTGCTGAGAAAACTTGCTTTTCTCCCTACCCCTCCATCTCCCACCTCTTAAAGTCACAGAGATCCTCCATCATTTGGGGGTGATGTCCCTCCTCCTGTTCCTGTCTTCAGTCTGCCCAAGGACAGGGAGGAGGGAGGGAAGGGGAGAACACTTGAAAAGTTAACGCTTCAGAAATCAGTTGACTCCATTGTTGATACATTGCTGATAAAAACTGGTGGAGAAGGGCTGAAGAGGGAAAATTCTTTCCAGTAGCTCATGGGATTTTCCCATTGGGATAGAGATGAAAAAGGAAAATGCCTGTGGCTGGTGTGGGGACTTAGCCTTGCTTCTAGGGTTGGTACTTGCATACAAAGTGTCGACTCTTGCTGCAGTCATCCTCATCCCAGGTTAAGAAATCTGCAAAAATATGGAAACACGCCTTTTTTCCTCTGCCTTAAACCCACTGTCAAATCCCCAGTAAGGGTAACCAGCATCCCCTTGGCCCTTCTTTTTTAGTATGGTTTTTTTTTTAGTAAGTTAGGGAACTAGAGACAACTGATAGGGATAGTGATTCCCACCACTGAAAGATGAACCCGTATTTCCTCACGAGTGGAGAGAAAAATCTCAGAAATCTCAGTTCTGCTCTCTATTGATTGCTAAGTGACCACAAAGCCCTGTCTTTTGTCCAACCAGTGGAAGCATCTCACATATTTTTGGGGGGATACCACTGGTCCACGGGGACAGATGCTGAGTTTGGGTCTCCAACTACATTTAAATACTGACTGAAATAAGCAGTCAATTAGACTTTCGTTTATGCTACTTCTCCCCTCTAACAAAAAAAAAAGATGAGTTGTTTTGATGTCTCATTAATATAACCTCAATTATTTAAAAAAAATCTCATAATACTGAAAGATGATCGATCTAGTAATTTTAGATAGTGAGCTCAGTGATGTTTTAGTTTGGTGGGAAACAAAAGGAAAAGAGTCTCAATTCCATTCAAAGAAGTCTTTTCTGGTCACCACTATGACCTGCGGATCCAGAGGACAGTGAAATAAGACTCTCTAGGCTTACAGAACATTTGTGGATCATCAGCACCTTGCCCATGTCACCACTGTTCTACCGTCTATACGGCCACCACCATTGGTAAGGCAAAAACTTGAGGGTATGCACATGTTTTCCAATTTAAGGGAAGATGTGTGGAGGGATGAAATCTTTTATGTTGATTTACAGGAAAGATTTAGGTGTTTAGTGTTCTAGGAAAGGGAGGCGACAATAATGTAGCGAGATAGACAGTCTTTTTGTAGTGGCAAAGAACTGGAAAGTAAGGGGATGCCCATCAATTGGGGAATGGTTGAACACATTATGGGATATGGAAATAATGGAATACAGTGATGTTGGACAGTTTCAGAGTAACCAGGGAAGACTTCTATGAAATGATATAGGGTAAAATAATCAGAACCAGGAGAATAATTTATAAAATAATAACAACACCACAAAGACAAATGATTTTGAAAGACTTAGGAATTCTGATCAGTGCAATGACCAACCAGGATTCCAGAGGACTGGTGACGAAATATACTACCCTACTTCCGATAGAAAGGACAGAAAAGACTCAGGGCATAGAACGAAACAGCAGGAATTTATTTTGTTTGACTATGCATATCTGCTATAAAGGGTTTTTGTTTGTTTGTTTTGGGAATGGAATGAGAGGGAGAGAAAATAAATGCCAGCTAATTGAAAAAAAATTTAATTAAAGTGAACTACCACACTTTAAAAAAGAGAAAGAACACTGTGCTTATCTCAGAAAATTTGTGTGTGAGTCCTGGCTGTTTCTCACTTGCTGTGTGACCCTGAGAGAATCATTCATTTGCTTTATAGAGTTTTAATTTCCTCATACCTAAAATAGTGGAGTTAGATGAAATCACTTCTTTAGGTTCCTTCTGTCTCTATGAGGTGATTCAATCTCTTGAATTAATAGGTGGAAATTAGAAAGCACAGATTTCAGCTCAATAAAAAAAGATTTTTTTTAAAAAAACTGTTTTAGAATGGTCCAACAATAGAACAGACTTCCTGAGGGGAATAGTTAATCCCCCATAACTGAAGTTGTTCAAGTAGAAAGAAGTTGGATGACTCTCTCAAGAATGCTTTAGTTGAGATTCCTTTTGTGGGAAGGAGGTTGGACCTTCTAACTCTCTGATTCTCTGATTCTATTATAGCTAAGAATACTTAGAGGCTTATGGGATATGATAGGAACTAGACATGTGATTCCAGAGGTATTGAAAAAATTCCCCTGGGAATGACAAAACTCCTTCTGCTAATGCATGGGGGCAATTCCTTCCAATTTCTAGTTGACTTAGAGAGTTGTCTTAAGCAGAGGTGTTGAATATGGCCCATAAAACTTCCAAGGGCAGCTCAAAATAGATTAAAATGTAATTAAGGAATATTAACAAAATAAAAATGCAATAGGAACATAGACAATATTTTATTTTAAATACATGGTTAATGCGTTGCTGCAGGGATAATTATGTGTGGATTAGTTTCTCTTGGACTTTGACACTGTGGGCCTGGAGAGCTGAGAGGTAGTCATTCACCAGGTTACACAGCCAGTATATGCCAGAAGCAAAACTTGGCTATTCGTGACTTTGGGGCCAGATGTCTACCCATTACACCATCTAGACCTCACTGAGTTAAAGAGAAGAAGCATGATAGAGTAGAAAAGAGTTATCTTCAAAGCCAGGAAGAGCTGGGTTCAAGTTTTATCTCTGATCTATACAGACTGTGACCTGAGATGAATCATTGAACCTCTCCAAGCAACCTCTTAGACTTTGAAGTTGCAGAGAAGTAACTCAACTGCATTGATAAGGGGGAGTTCTCTATACTAACGGCATGGTAGGTTCAGTCTCTAACTCTGTTTAGGAAGATGGGGGTGAGAACAATGGAATCTCAGTGTTGTCAATGGTTAAGAGGTGGATATCAGAGGACTGGTGTGTGGGTGTGTGTTGGAGACTGTGTGTTTGTGTGCGTGCCCAAGTGCAGGGGTTTTGGGATGCTTCCCACTGTTCATTTTTAGTAAGGAAAGTACTTTTAGTTTTGTTGTTCAATCATTTCAGTCGTGTCTGACTCTTCGTGACCCATCTGAGGTTTTCTTGGCAGAGACGCTGAAGTGGTTTGCCATTTCCTTCTCCAGCTCATTTTACAGATGGGGAAACTGAGGCAAACAAGGTTAAGCAACTTGCCCAAGGTCACACAGCTAGTAAGCATCTGAGGCTGCATTTGAACTCTGGAAGATGAGAATTCCTGACTCTAGGCCTGGCACTCTATGCACTATGGTGCTACCTAGCTGCCACATAATTGTTGCTTGTTTTTCAGTTATTTTCCAGTTGCATCCAACTTTTTGTTACCCCATTTGAGGTTTTCTGGGCAAAGATACTGAAGTGGTTTGCCATTTCCTTCTCCAGCTCATTTTACTGATGGGGAAACTGAGGCAAACAGGGTTAAGTGACTTGCCCAGAGTCACACAACTGGTAAATGTCTAAGGCCAGATTTGAACTCATGAGGATGAGTCTTCTTGATTCCAAGCCTAGTGGTCTATACATATCACCTAGCTGCCCAAAGGGAAGAACTCTAACATCTGTGAAAAGGCAATCTGGGTGATGTATCAGTACTTGCTACTGTGATAAGCCATCTCCCCACAGGCCATATTTCCATAGTGAGACTCGTTAGACCAGGCTCTGAAGAGAAAGGAGTTTCCATCAATCCATTTCCAATTGTTGTTCTGCAAACAACAGGTATAAAGAAAGAAACATTTACATGAGAACACGCTCCTTCCTCTGTCTTCAGACATTTTGGCCTTCTTTCCTATCTCAGAATGAAATGATTTGTGTCTTTGCCAAGACTAATCCTTCCATACATGCCCTGGGGCCCCATCCTTGCCTGCCTCCTCAGGTACATTGTTCTATAAATCAATACCCTTCTTGCATTTTCATCTTCTTTCTTTCTTCTGATTCCTTCCACTATTCTCAGGTCTTCCCTAGGCAGCTAAAGGATGTGGTTTGCCATTCCCTTTTCCAGTTCATTTGACAGATGAGGAAACTGAGGCAAACAGGGCTAAGTGACTGCCCAAGGTCACATAGCTGGTAAGTGTCTGAGGCTGAATTTGAACTCAGGCCTTCCCGACTCCAGGAACAGTGCTGGTGGATAGCCTGCTGGGCTTGAGTCACCAAGAGCTGGCTTCAAATCTAGTCTGGGATACTTATTAGCTGAGTGACTCTGGGCAAGTGACTTAACATTGTCTGCCTCAGTTTCCTCAACTATAAAATATGGATAATAATAGCTCCAGCCTGCCAGGGGTGTTGTGATGAGAAATAAGATAATATGTGTAAAGCATCCTCCCTCCTCCATCTCCCAGATCTCGGTCCCAACCATTCACATCTGTAACCTATGGTTCAAAGGCTACATGTCAGCTTCTTCCCAGGGTCTCTCTCCCTTCAGGGACCTGAAGAGAGTCTAGAACTTCCTGTCTTCTATCTGGAAGCTAAAAGTCAGAAGACCAGGATCTCCCTTCTCTCAAACTCTTAGCAGCTCCAGCCCTCAGGCAAATGGGCAACATTGAGTAATCACTCTCCAGAAATGAGAAGAGTCTTATACAAATGACTACAAGTTACACATACAATTTCTACAGTGGAGCATTGAACCAGGAGCATGTGAATTTTCAATGAAAAGCTGTGTTATTGACTACATCCCATCTGGAACCCAAGCATACGCAGCATCTCATAAGCCTTTACATAGCTCATCTCTCCCTCCTTTTTCTTTTCTTGTCTTTTTAAAGAAAAGGCTGGATCATATTTTTCTCCCCACTTCAGTTGCAAGCAACACCTCCTCTAAGAGGCTGTCAACCTTCTTTAGGGCCCGGGACTGTCTTTTGCCTCTTTGTAAAACCTGTTCTTAGCACAGTGCCTGGCACATAGGAGGCTCTCAATAAAATATTTATTGATCGACTGACTTCTTGTCGGAGCGGCTCGGTGGCACAGTGGATACAGCGCGGGGCTCGAAATCAGGAAAATCTGATTTTGAATCCTACACGACCAAGCTGTGTCTCATTGTTACGTGTTGCGACGCTCTGATTTAGCCATGCTGTCTCCCCCCATGAGAATGTAAGGTCTTTGAAGGCAGATGCTTTTTGCTTTTTCTTAGTATACTTAGTCCTTAGCAGAGTTTCTAGGATATAGTGAGTCAATGAAAAAGGAGAGTGAAATCTTTATGTATGTCTGTGTATGCAAGCTTTTGTGTGTGTGTGTCATGGAAACCTTGACCTCCAAGAGGTAATGAGACCCTGAACTCAGAAGCATCATGTCCAGTCACCAGCCCTCCTCTAAAGCACTAAATTATGCTGGACTGTAGCAGAACCTTACCCCTGGGGCTAATTCAATTCAAATAATAAATAACCATTAAGTATTGGGACAGCTAGGTGGGGTGGTGGATAGGGTGCAGGGTCTGGAGTCAAGAACATTCCTCTTCCTCACTTCAAATCTGGTCCTAGCTGTCACTTAACCCTATTTGCCTCAGCTCCTCATCTGTTGAAAGAGCTGGAGAAGGAAATGGTAAACCATGAAACCCCAAATGGGGTCATGAAGAGGCGGACAGGACTGAGCACCGAGTGAGCACTTTTTAGGTACTAGACCCTAACCCTGAGACTATAAAGACAAAACTAAAATAATCCCCACCCTCAAAGAGTTCACATTCTACTTACAACCTACTATTCCTGCCCAGAGTTTGGTGAGCTCCCCGTACATGGGCAGTGGCAACCAACTCATTATACTCTACACGAAATATTGCATTACTAGGAGTGTGCTGGAGCCAGCTCAAAGTTTGTTAAATTTTCAAAGAGCCTTTACACCCCAGAATCAGCAGATGGATCAGGGCTGGTTTTTATCATTTTATTGATTGTCTACTCAAGAGTGAGGATTTAACTCAAAAGTACCTTGTGGGTGTTTTCATTTATTTATTTATTTATTTTTGCCTTCTCAAGGGCTGATGGTTAATCTTTTACCAGAATACCTCTGCAAACTTGCAAAGGTAAATGATGGTTATTCACCTTCTCATCAAGAAAGCAGGCCAATTCCCAGATGGAGGATTTAAGCTATTTCTAAGAAGGCAATGTAAAATCCCCTGCGAAGATTACCTTTTGGGGGTCGGTCATTGAGGCCAATCCAGATAGGCTGGTTTCGCTGATAGCTCCAGATGTACTTGGCTATGACCTTGGCTTCCTTTTGATCCAGCAGAGAGGCCAGGTGGGCCCCTTTCCCAAAGGCCTGATACTCCAGCTGCAAGCAAGGGGAACTTCCGTCAGTCATCACTGTAATCCCAGGCTCCTAGCCAGGGAGCTGTGTCCCAGTAGTTTTAACTCATATATAAACCCTCAGTCAGGAAATTTAGGATTTACCAGAATCATCAGCAAAAAATGACCTTGAGCTTGAGAGAAGATAAAGGTGCTAGCTACCTGAGGGAATGCTATCAGAATGGATGGTTGGACCTACCAGGAGAATAGAGATATCCTCTCATACCATGGTTAAGAGCACAATGTGGGCTGCCATATTTTCAGGTGCCTTTAAGAAATGTATATCTAGGACAAATATTTGTCTGTTATTCTCTGTTGTTCCTCAGTAGTGGTGGACTTTGAACTTGAAATAGAGAGCATTTCCCCAATTTAGCTAGAGCTAGGGCTGATGTGTAATTTGTATCTGTGTTACAGCTTTAAAAACCTCTTTGGGCAATTAAACTCATATACCCTATAATCCTGTGTATTTTTGCCTTTATCCTAGATCTCACTCCTACAAAGCTGTGCTTTGTACAAATGGACAAATCATGTTCATTGGAGCTCAGCCAACAGCTTTGTCATGGCCAAGTCAGATAATTCTCCTCACCAGGAAGCTGACCATGACTTTTGGCCATAGTAACAAGTTACCATCTGCTAACATGTAGATACTTGGTGTCTATGGTGGTGGAAGAAGTAGCCATACTAAAGATGCAATGTTTTTTTTTTATCCTGAATAACAGATCATTTATGAAATTCCATGTGCCCTAAAGACTGCAGAATATAGAAAACAATTGATTTCTCTTCTTTGGGTACATGCACATATCCTAGTTGACCAGTTTGATTCATATCTGTGATTTCATTGATGAAAAGCAGAAACTCCTTTTATTGATGTAATTCACCCATAGAACTCATAACTGTAGAGAGTTACCTAGGGGCACTAGAAAACCCTCAAGGGGTGTGTGTGTGTGTGACTAGACCGAGGTCATGCAGCCAATCTGGGTTGGAGGGATGTCAACCCAGTAGCGATGGGAAAATTTTTTAAACTGAAATTCTAAAGATATGTAGAGAAACAATTCTGATTAAGGGGTGTTGTTTTGAGAGACTAGTGTGGATATACCCAAGAACAATCTCATGTTGAAAACTGTGGCATGGCCCAGTAAGAACAGTATGAGTAGTTAAAAAAAACTCAGAATAACTTGAGGTGTTAAGAAAAGATTAAAAACAAAAAAGGTCTTTTTTAAAAAAAAATTATTTGGAAAAGGTGAAGTCTCAAAGAAAGGACAAGATTCCTATTTGGTATAGATGGGATAAAGATAATGGATGACAGAGATGCTTAATTATTATTTTGCTTTTGTTTTCTCTGCAAAGGCGAACTATTTTTAGAATGGAAAGTATAAAATAAGAAAGTAGTAAGAGAACACCTGTCTACCTTTTTGGGCAAGCTAGGTGGCGCTATAGTGGATGGACCTGAGTTCAAATTCAGCCTCAAACACTTACTGTGTGACCCTGGCCAAGTCACTTAACTGTTTGCCTCAGCTTCCTCATCTGTAAAATGAGCTGGAGAAGAGAATAGCAAACCACTCCAGCATCTTTGCCAAGAAAACCCCAAATGGGGCCACTAAGAGTCGGGCAAGACTGAAAATGCCTGAATAACAATGAACCTATCTGCCTTTCACAATTCCAAGTCAGAAGGCTCAGATGAATTATATCCCAAAGCATTGAAAGGCCTGATGCATGCACTTTCTGAGCCACCGTGAACCATCTGTAAAAGATCAAAGAATGGTGGAAACAGGCTTCTGAACTGGAGAAGGCCAAACTCTGTCCTGACTTTTTAAAAAAATGGACTAGAAAGGAGTCTGTAAACTGTAAACCAGTGAACTTGACTTCATTTCCTAGCAAAATTGCTAGAGAGAATAGTGAACATTATGAGAAGCCAACGTGGCTTCTTAAAGAACAAGTCTTGTACTAACCCCATTTTCTTTTCTAGAAGTGGTAGATCAAGAGAATACTGTGACACAAGTTACTTAGATCTTAGTAAAGCTTTTGGAAAAGTTGGATGGTTTTGTGTCCATGATGGAGAGAGATGGACTAGGGTGGCACTAATAATACTGTTGAGTTGATTCAAGCTGGCTTAATGCCCTGGCCCAAAGAGTTTCAATGTCAGTTTTGGGGGATGTCTCCAGAGGAGTGTTTGAGGGCCTGGACTTGGCCTTGTGCTAGTTAACATTTTTTATTAGTGACTCAAATAAAGGCTTAGGTGGCATGCTTATCAAATTCGTAGATGACACAGAGCTGAAAGGAATAGTCAACAGGAATGATGACAAGTTCAAGACCCAAAAAAGACACTGATAGGCTAGAACAGTGGGCTGATGAAATTTAATAGGAATAAATATCAAGTCTTACCCTCGAGCTGAAAAATCAGCACTACAAATAAATGATGGAAATCTGACTAGATAGCAAGTTTTCTGAAGAAGGGCTGGGAATTTTAGCCTGGTGCAAGTTTAGTGTAAAGCAGCAATGTGATGTGACAGGCAAAAAATCTAATGTGAACTTTAGCTATATCAGAAGGTGTAATTCTAGAACTAAGGAGGTGATGGACAATCTTACTATACTCTGCCTCATCAGACTACATCTGGAATATTGTGTTCAATTCTTGGCGATGCATTTTAAGAAGAACAATTGGTAAGCTAGAGAGTCCAGAGGAAGGTGCAGCAGGATGGTGAAGGACCTTCATGATCACGGGATATTAAGCCTGAAAGGAAGACTTGGACAAAACTAAAAATAATGGAAACTGGAAATTGCAACACTGGAGTTGTGGCCTTAAAGCAAGGAAAGATTCCCAACAACTAGAACTCTTCCAAAGTGGGGTGGTCTGTCTTAGGAACCAGTGGATTTTCTTCATCAGCAGACATTTTCAAGCAAAGGTTGGATAATGAGTTGGGTATGTCAGAGCAGGGACTCGTATTTAGGGGATGACTGCGCTAAGTTACCTCTGAGCTCTTTTCCAGCTCTGATAGTTTCTGATCCTCACTTTCTTTTGCAAACACTGCCCTCTGTCCACCTAACTATTGAAACACACATCATCAATGTTGCATTTTTTTCCTCAAGGTCCTCTGGGGGACCTGATGCTTGAGGTGGATTGACTGGAGCTGTCCCAAAGAGCCCTGAAGAAGCTGTTGTTAATTGACACAAATTTTTTACCTCAGCATCAGACCAACTTCGAAGTTTTTGAAAATATCCATAACAGTTGGATCTGTAGTAAAACCACCCTGTGCTGCAGCTGGGTCTCAAGATAATATCTTCGTGTAAACAAAAGATTGTCATTAGTCATCACGAAAGTAAGGCAGGGAGGCTGGGGTCTTTCATTTCTTTCTGATTATCCCTTCCCATCCCTATTCCACTTTTGGACAGCTCTAAATATTAAATATTCATAAATAAATACAAGGCAGCTAAGTGGTGCAGTGCATACAGCACTGGTCCTGGAGTCAGGAGGACCCGAGTTCAAATCCAGCCTCAGACACTTACCAGCTGCATGACTTGGGCAAGTCACTTAACCCCGTTTGCCTCAGTTTCCCCATCTGTAAAATGAGCTGATGAAGGACATGGCAAACTACTCCACTATCTTTGCCAAGAAAACCCCAAATGGGGTCATGGAAGGTCAGACACAACTGAAACAACTCAACAACCACCACAAATATTAAATATACAAATATATTAGCTAAATATACATATCTCACTTATTAACTAAAAATACACAAATATTAAATATATATTAAATATAAATTGAAATGCAATCTACTTCTCTTTAACGTCTACTCATTGCTTTTGGCAATTCACCCTGAGACCAATGCCAATTTAATTTATTATCTGGCATATTACAATATTTAATTATGTATCAATCATATCACACCATTGGCTCATATTAAGTTTGAAGCTTCTTTTTTTTTTTTAGGTAATTGGGGTTAAGTGACTTGCCCAGGGTCACACAGCTAGTAAGAAGTTTGAAACTTCTTAAATGGCACAGGTCATTTTTGCAGGAACTGTTTTTGAATGTGCATTGAACTTTACATTTATCCCTATTACTTTTAACCTAAAAATTGGACGTATTTTATGTTGATTTTGATCAATGCAATTTCTTATAGAAATTTAATTGATATACAGAGAGTTTCTGATTAGGGAGAACAATGATGGGAGTCTGAGGAAAATTGTGACTTTCTGCAGACTCAAATGTCATTCTTGTTTGTTTCCACCAACAAAAAATGGAAAAAAATTCATTTTGGGGCTTTGGCTGTTTCTGAGGGGAATTCCTGTGGACTCTCTAGCTTACCAATTGTTCTTCTTAAAATGCGTTGCCAAGAACTGGACACAATATTCCAGATGTAGTCTGATGAGTCAGAGTATAGTAAGATTTTCCGTCACCTCCCTAATTCTGGAATTACACCTTCCGATATAGCTAAAGTTCATATTAGCTTTTTTGCCTGTCACACCACATTGCTACTGCACACTAAACTTGCACCAGCTTAAAAATCCTGGAGCTCCCAGATTATCTGACTAGAGACAAGGGGCCATAGAAGAGAAGCCCTCAGATTGTACCCAGGACCTTGACATCAGGAGAGGCCTCTGACATGGGGCCTACATGACCAATGGTGGAAATGACGAGTTTAGCACAATTGCCCAAGAAAAATGTTACAGAGATCATGGAAGGTCTCAAGCAAAGGGGTGGCATAACATAGTAGAAAGAACACTGGATTTAAAGTCTGTGTCTTGGTTTAAGTAAGTCCTAACTCTGTTTTTACTTGGGTGACCTTGGGTAAGTCACTTCCTTTCCACAAGTCTCAGTTTCTTAATATGTAAAATAGGAATAATACTTGTACCACTTATCTCACAGGGCTATTGAGAAGAAAGTGCCTTATGAACACTAAATCATTATACAATGAAAATTATGAACTACAAAATCTAGTTTTAGACTATGAAAAAGATTTACATGAGGTGATGCAATGTACAATCAGTAGAATCAGAACACACACACACACATTACAAAGGTAAAGGGATTTCAGACAGACATGGTGGGGGGAGTATCACAAAATAAAATAATTTTTTGTTGTTATTTTGGTTTTATTTTATTAAAATAATAAATTCCTACACATAATTCCTCCTTTTATTTTGAACATTTACTTTTGTTGATGGTCGTAAAGTTTATACTAAAAGCATCTAACCATCTAGGATATGGTCCTTGGATATATTCATATAATTATGGTCTGTTAGATTCAGGAAGTAATCCTTCCCCTACACTAATCAAGTTCATGTCAGTCTTTTTTTTTTTTGGCAAGGCAATTAGGGTTAAGTGACTTGCCCAGGGTCACACAGCTAGTAAGTGTCTATGTCAAGTGTTTGGTCTGAGACCAGATTTGAACTCAGGTCCTCCTGACTCCTGGACCAGTGCTCTATCCACTGTGCCACCCAACTGTCCCTAAGTTCATGTCACTCTTGACCTTCATCCTTGAGTCCTAACATGGAGATATGGAAGACCAGTTAATTGATAAGTTGAAGTCCTTCAGGTTACTAAATCTGGAGATGAGAAGGTAGAGGGGCTCTTAACACTAGAAGGACCAAGCTGCGTCAATTGACACAATGAATTATTATTGTTTTATTTAATCCACAGAGTAAAGAAAATATAGCTAGTTGATGAAATTTTTTATTTCAAAGTAAAATTATAATATTTCTGTATCAATTGATGCATCTAATTCTTGCAGGGTCAACAAATTGTCAAGTATGAGTGGGGCATTTTTAGAGCTTTGAAGGAGTGTGAACCATTCATTTTTATAAAAGATGGCCTACAAATGAGTCTGAATTTCAACAAGAAAAAATTTGTTCGAAGTTGGTGAATTTCTTTTGGTTTAACCAACCCAAGTGATTTGATGCTGAGACAGGCATTTATCACTGTCCTTAGAGACTATTAAAGGACTATGATAAAGAAATCATCGCTTCACAGTTAGTATGCGTTGTACCATAGTTCCAATGTCGCTTTGGAGTCTCGGGTGCCTGCGTGTGGCCCTCCACAGACAAAAAATTTAGGTGGGGTCATCCGTCTTGATGCTCCCTGATTCCCAAATAGGACATACAGAAACTCCGACATGAATGTAAGGTCACAGTGTTCAGAGTAGATTCAATATTTAATAAGCTTAGGAGGTTAGGACAGTCTAAACAGAAAAGGAATGAATTCCCTAAGGTTGGATGTAGCCTGCCAAATGTTTACTTGCAGTCCACAGTGGGGCCAGGTTAAGGGCTCATGTCCTAATGCTGTGCAGGCTGGGCAAGGGCTGATAACTTTTGAGTGTGTATTGGAGGTGTGATTGAACTGATAATGGTCTGATCCCTGAAGCCGAGTCCTTTGGTATTTTCTTAGTCTTTTTCTTTGTTTTATCTTTCTCTCTCTCCCCTTGTTTCTGACATAAGAGTTTCCATCACGGGCAGTGTGTGGGAGGTCTGAAATGCTAGTTCTTTGGTACTCTTGTTTCTTCCTAGTCTACCCCTTCTTATAGGGCTGCGCCGGTCACCCTGCGTCCCTCCTAGAGCTTTAAGGGTCTGTTAGCTCCTGGACATACCTGCTTATGGTTAGAAACAGTGAGGAAAGAACAAATGGGCTGCCAGAAGAGATGACCAGTCAATTCAACACAAAGAGGTATCTGCAAAAGGGTTATCTTTTGCTTACCGACCTTTGCCAGGCACTGGGGAGGCCAAGAAAGACAAAAGATAGCCCCTGCTCTCAAGGAGCTACGTTTCTGCCCCAATAATCATGATCTACCTATTTGAAGCTTCCTTTTCATCTTTATGGTCCCAAGGGGAAAAAATAGGAGTAAGAGGTAGAAGTAACAGAGAGATAGATTCCAGACCAATTTTTAAAAATCTTGATAGTTGGGTTGCCTTGGGAGGCGATGAGTTTCCTGTCGCTGGAGGTCTTTAAACAGAGGCTATATGACTCCTATATTGTGGACAAGGGCATTCCCACTCAGAAAAGGGTGGGACCTGCTGGTCTCTGAGCGGCCTTCCAACTCTAGGGGTTCGGGACATATCGGTCAAAATGTAAGCTTCTTGAGAACAGGGACCGCCTTTCTTTCTGCTTATATTTGTTTTGTTAGTGCTTGGTACTGTGCCTGGCACATCAGAAGTGCTTAATAAATACTTCTTGATTTGACCACAAGGCATATATATATATATATATGTATACACACACACACATATATACATATATATACACACACACGTATATACACACACACATATATACACACACATACATATACACACACACATATATATACACATGTACACACTATATATATACACATACACACACTATATATATGCACATACACACACTATATATATATACACATATACACATGTACATATATGTATACATATACACACATACATATCTGTAAACATGCATATATAAATACATATACGTATACACAGAGGTTAAAGTTCTGCCTCTGATGTATATCTGCCGTGTGACCTGGCCAAGTCTCTTAACTTTTCAGTGATCTGGGCAAATCTATGGCTTTAAGTTTCAGAGAAGGCCTGTAGACTTACACTGTTGTTGTTCAGCAGTGATTGACCATATCACCCCAATACTGTCCATAGGGTTTTCTTGGCAAAGATACTGGAGTAGTTTAACATTTCCTTCTCCGGTGGACTAAGTGACTTGCCCAGGATCATACAGCTAGTAAGTGTCTGAAGTCAGATTTGAACTCAGGTCTTTCTGACTCCAAGCCCAGCACTCTATCCACTGAGTCACCTAGCCACACCAGATTTACATAGTAGAGGCAATTTCTTTATGCGGACCTCTCCTTATAATGATAAAATCCCAGGTCCAGTTTCTATTCTGTGTTTGGCTTTTAAAGCCTTTTAAAGACTAACCCCTTCCTACTTTTCTGGTGGTCTTATACTTTACTTCCCTTCATGCACAATGTGATCCAGACACACTAGCCTTCTTGAGGTTCCTTCCAACCCCTTTTCCCCCCACTCCTGTCTCTCTCTGTCTCTCTCTCCATGCCTTTCCACTGATGGTCCCTCATAGCTGGAATGCTTCCCCTCTTTTCTTATCCCTCCTGGTTTCCTTTAAGATTAAGGTCAAATCTCACCTTCTGCAAGACACCTTCCCCAGTCTTCTGCCTCCACCCCCTACACCTTACCTCTCTCCAACAAATGTCTTCCCTAAATGGGAAGTGACTTCCCATTGATGCTGAATGTATCCTGTACACGCATATATCTGTTTACCTGTTGTCTCCCTATTAGAATGTGAGTTTCCAGAAAGCAGACACTGTTTTTCCCTTTTTTGTATCCCCACTGCTTAGCACAGTGCCTCAAACAGAATAAGAGCTTGACCAATGCTTATTGACCAACTGAGTACTCCTATTAAACAGGCAATAATTAAACTACTCTATTAGTCTCTGTCCTCTTCAGCACCTTCATGTTTTCATCTGTGCATTAAAAAGATCATCCCATAAGGATGTTTTGAAGTATAATTCCTACTTGGCTACCACCTCCTTCCTACTCACAACCAACTTACTGGTTCCTATCTCTGTGCCTTCACTCGGTCCTTTCCTTCTGGGCACTGCTTTGTTCTGCACCGTTTCAACACGGCTACCTCTCATTGTATTCGCTAGCTTTTTATTTGCTCCCAATGGCTTTTCTTTGGTCTGGGTTTAGTGTGACACCCCCTCCCCCCTTGTACTTCAGGCTCTTTGAGGGTCACCTTTATCTTTGACGCTGTCAATGGTACAACTCACTTCCCAGGATGTCTGTAACTAAGGCACAGCTCAGGAGCAGGACCAGCCAGTTTTTGGAAGTCAGTCTCTTTTTCCTCTCCCAGGTAGTCTCAGTCAAAGGCTCCTGCTATGTCCTTGAAGCTTCTGAACAGCCCCAGGTCTGCAATGTAAGCATATATGCTGAGATGGGAAGGAGCCAGTTTCTTTCAGGATTTTTCAGATCTCTAAAGGCAAGGAAGAATGTCATCTGCTTGTACTTGCTGAGCTAGAGAATCCCTAGTCCTGAAGAACAGCAATTTCCCATTCAAAATTCCTTCATCTGTTCATCCATCCGTTAATTTTTCATTCATTCAGCATACATTTCCATGTAAAGCAGCATATTAGTGACTGAAGGGGACAGGTGCAGGAGGTAGATACTGGGATAAGTAATGCCTGAACTTTATTCTTAAGGAGATCAGAGCCTAAGGAGGGGAGAGAAGACAGGCATGCAAAATAACTATGATGCTAAATAGAAATTAAATGCAGAGATGCTGACCGTGCACTTGCGGTTTGCAAGAGGTGGTGGGGGTGGACTCTCCCTCAGTGGAGTCTTTTCAAGCAAAAATGGATGACTAATTAGTGGGAATGCTGGAGAGGGATTCCTGTTCAGGCGCAGTTTAAGTCTAGATGGTCTTCGAGATTCCCTTCCAACTTGGAAATGCTATGATTCTGAGAGGTACAAACTGAATTCCTTCAGCATTCAGTGTAAAGAAAGACTTTATGACTGGGTAGAATAGTTGGAATGAAAAAGGTAGCATTTTACCTGGGTCTTGAAGGACGGTAGGATTTTAACAGGCTGAGATGAAAAGAGAAGGATATTTTAGATATGAAGAATGATGTAACATGCAGGGTGAGGATGGCATAAGCCCTGTCTGCAAAACAGTGAGGAGTTCAGTTTGACAGTAGCATGGAGGACATGGGGGGCTATAGCATGCCTTTAGAGAGAGCTTGAATCCAGGTTATGGGGAACATTGAATGCAGGCTAAGGAGTTTGGATGTTATTCAATAGAAAATAAGAATCCATTGAAGATCTTGAGTGGGAGAGTGATGGAAGAAGAGATGTGCATCTAGAGGGTTAATTTAGCTGCATCTCAGGGTGGTAGACTGGAAGGTAGGTTTCAGAGAACAAAAGATCAGAAATATGGTTGTCTAAGCAGTGAGAGTAGAAAGGTTCAATAGACTTTACAGAGATAGAATTAACAGGACTTGGTCATTCATTAGATGAGGGAGATTGGGAGAGGGAGGTCATAGATGAGAACAAGTCAATCTTGCATTTCCTAACTCATGTCCCAGACACTTGACCTCTCAGTGTTAGAGAATTGACCAGAGACCTAACTCTAGACTATATAAATAAATCTCTTGGTGTAGCCACGCTTAGGTTCTTTTTCTTCTCCATGGTATAAGTCTACTCTCCAGGTAGTCTCAAAAGAACCAGTAGGGGGAGGGCAAAGACAACCCAAGGGACAATGAATTTCCCAGATCTTGGAGCATCTTAACAATTTATCTTGGCATATTAGAGTAAAAAGGGATGTTGGAGATGATCTATCTAGACCAACCCGGCCATTTTATTTCTAAATGAAATAAAGCCCATGCAAGTTGAGTGACTTGACCAAGTCATCGAGCTAGTTAGTGGCAGAGCTGATACTAGAATGGGGGCTCCTGATTCCTGGGTTTATGTACTTTCTATGTCTTATTGATTAGCTGAACCCAGGGGTACTCCCTTACCCCAGTTCACGGAATAGTTCCCTTGGGGGACAGCTACAGCAAGTTCAATGTACTCTGTATGTCCAAATCCCATAAAACCACAGGTGAAGAACCCTTACCAGGGTGTTGGTCATTAATAGTCAGCCAGAGAACACATTTAGTTCAAAATGGAGGCATTCAGTGAAATATCACAGTAACAGAAGCAGTAACAAAATATTCCCCCTATAATCCTCAGGCTTACAGTATAGCTCTCCCACAATTATACACAACATCAGTGGGACACACTTAGGCCACATAAGTGCAGGGGCACACATGTAAGACACAAGTGTGACTAGGGCACATGTAGGTAACTCATGTACTATAACCCAGTAACAACTCAGTACTGCAGCACTGATAAATTTCTTCTAGTGACATCACTTGGCCCCATCCGAGCCTGCTTCTTGGTAGTCTTAGAGTCTGCCCAATTCTGTTTGGCTAGGTACCAACTGGCCAGATGTGTAATCTCTATTACTGTTCTGGTTACTGCTTGCTTCCTTCACCTCCTGCCTCTGCTGAAATTCTTGGCTATTCTTCCTCAAGGAAAGAATGAGTATTGACATGCTCTTTTAACTCTTTTAGGCTTCTTTTTCCTTCTAATTGTGGTCCTTTTAAAAAAAAGTAATAAATTCTTGCTTAAGACCAGCAAAAACACATCCCCTTAAGTTCTCTTGTCTTGTTTCCTCTGAGTCTTGGCTTTGATGCCTCTCATCTTGACAGCAAGAGACTCTCAATCATATGCACAAAGAGAAGGTTTCTCCATATTAGCTTCCAACAATCTTTTCTTTGGAGTAAACTTCCTGGCCATTGGACTTGGGATCTCCATGAGTAATCTCATTCCAACTCATAATGAGCATTCCAAATACCTCCCAATTTTAATCTCTGGAGACTAGACTACAAATCAAATAAAGAGTTTTGTCCAATAGCTGCTAAAGAACTCTGGAGTTTATGATTTCCCAAACCTCAGTTTTCAAACCTTAAGCCTCTTGCATTCTTTCAGGCAGATCAGTGAGTGAGGGACAAAAGCACAGTGGGAATACCAAGGCAAAGAGGATGTGGTCTGAGTACCTGAGACCAGCCAAGGCATCCATTTGTATCCTAGGGTGGCTGGGATATTTTCCTTTAGTACATACCTACAAGTAAGCTAGACTGAAACAAGGTGGAGGCAGGAGCTCAACACTAGGTTCTGATTAAATCATGGAAGACACTAAGAGTTAATGTCAAGTAATATGGCCTTGAACCTAGCTTAGAACTTGAAATGTTAGTGTGACACAGTTTATTTAGTGCTGGCAGATGACACAAAGTTGAGGGAGCTAGCTGACATGTCAGAACACAGAAATACTATCCCCAAAAGATCTTCATGGGCAAGAAAAATGAGCCCAATCTGGTAAGACAGAATTTAATAGGGATAAATTTGGTCTTATATTTGCATTAAAAAATCAACTTTATAAGCTATAACTCATGAGGAGGAGGATATGACAACTGGCCATGCAAAACATATCAGGGTTTTTTTTTTTAGCAGATTATAAGCTCATTGACATAGAAGGAAAAAAAATAGGCTTTTTTTTAAAAAAAAATCTTAGGTTGGAGTGAATTGTATTAGACCTGTGATTTAATTGATACTGGGAGTTCCCAAAGAGGAAATTCCTTCTACCAATACTGATAAGCACCTTCTCTATAATTTATAGTCTTAGAGAGTCCTTCCAGAACCTCCATTTAAGAAGGAAGGCCAGCCTCCTCATTTCCCACCTAGCTTCACTCTTCTGGACTTTTCTATCAGGGCTCCATGCTGGCCACCTTCCCTTCCTGCCCTCCTCACTTTCTACTTTCAGCTTCCTTTTATATCTTGTTTTCTCCCCATTAGACTGTAAGCCCATGGATGTCTCTAGACTTTCTTTGTATCTTTAGCACTTAGCATAGTGCCTAGCACATAGTGGGTGCTTAACAAATGTTTGTTGACTGTCTGTACCATCTTGTTTGTGTCTTGTTTCCTAATATGGGTGCCCCTCAAGGCTCTGTCCGGGAGCCTCTTCTCTCAACGCTCCATTAGTCATCTCCTTAAATTCCATGGCTTCAATTATCATCTCCATACAGATACCTCCCTAATCTATATTTCTACCCCTAATTTGTTCTATGAAGTTCTACATTATCAAATGTCTACTGAACATCTCTACTTGGGCATCCTATTGACATGTTGAACTCAACAATGGACCACCTTTCCCTCTAAATAAATTCCTCCTCAAAATTTTGCTATTTCTGTTGAGGACATTACTATATTTTTTAGCTACATAGGTTTCCAACCTGGGTTGACTCTTCCTTTTCTCTCATTCCCCATATCCAATCAGTTGCCAGCTTTGCTTATTTGCTCTTTTATATTGCTCATGTACCATCTCCTCATGCCTCTGTCTCTCAAAATCCTTAACTTGTTAAAATGCTCAGATCAGGTGTCACCTCCTCCAGAAATAATTTGGCATTTATTTTAAATAGATATATGCCGGGCACTGATGCCCTCCCACCCCCAGAATTCTCTCTTTTTACCCAAATCACTTCTATATGTATTTGGATATATATTATGTCTTTCCTGAAACAGGTAAGACTCCTTAGAGGTCAGAATTATTTAATATTTGCTATTGTATCCCCAGTGCCTACCATATGGTAGTTTCTTAATAAATATTTGTTGAATTTGAGAGAAATTATTTTCTATTATATTAATAACCGATTACTAAAATAGGATTAAGGATTTTTCTCTCTATTTCCTCATTCAGGGACCTGCTCTGGAAAGTCAGCAAATCTCTGAAGGATATTGCTGATACTTGAGATTGCCCAAATCCTCCTGGAACATGCTTCTCATATCTTGGGCAGGATCCCATCCAACTAGGAGACCTTGCTTCTGTTTAGAGGACAAACAGAATCTAACCTAGGTGAATTCCAGCCCTTAAGCATTAAGTCTACTTCTTGTACCTCTCCATTGGAATTTAGGGTAACCCAGCTCATGAAGAAGAAAACCAACTAGAATGGTCTGAGTAGAGGTGGATTCCTTTGTCCAGGTTGTTGGAGGTGCCTGAGTCCCATGATCAAGCCACGTTCTCAGCAGGAGGAGCTAAAGGCTTTCAGCCTGCCTTCTCATTTGAAGGTCTACTCCCCTCATTAATTGTTCACCATTCAGGGTTGATTTTCACCTGTCAGGGGCACCCTCTTATCTAAAAATATATTAAGGCATTCAGTATCTCCATTAGGTGAAACCACTAACCATTAATTTATTGATTACCAGCTAGCCTAATTAATAAGTTGATTATTAATTATCCAGAAACTGTCTCCCCAACTTTTCATTTGTCTCAGTTGAATTGATGTGAAACTCAGATCTAGGTATACTTGTTTTTGGCAGACACTGATGCCTTTTAATGCGGGAAATGAAAAGTTTTCAGAAACTGTTGCTCAGAGGATAACACAGTGAAGGGCCTCATATCGCACAAGAGGGGATGATAGTAAAATATTATTGTGGTGTAAATGGGGGAGGGAGTTATTATTCAAACTCCTAGGCTTGAGCCCTGGGTTATCGAGTAGAATGCCATGTATCATATATATATCCCACAGAATATTGTGATCTGGATTCTTTCAACTTGGGAGATAAATTAATTCTTAGAGCTCCAGATTCTCACCATCAGCTGGAACTTATGTCAGTTTGCAAAAACTCCCTTGCACTGAATTGAGGCTGTAGAACATCTCCCACACTGTCCCCACAAAGAAAAGAGGAGACTCTATTCAAATACAGAACAAAACTGTCCACTCTATAAAATAATCTCGAGCTAACAGGCTAACTTTCAGACTGTGTGAACAGCTGTTGAAATAGGTACTGCATAAAAGGAGCAGCTGTTGACCTCATAATGCATGGGGGTTACCTGTGTGGTATCAAAGGCTCCGCTGGTCCTCTCCTTAGAAACCTCTTGAAGTTGGAAAGTGTGTGCCATTCACTGATTCTTATATGCCTTCGGCTCCAGGTGCAATCATCTTTATTTCACTCAGAAAGCAGTAAACCTGTTTATAATTAACATTCAATCCATAAGAATCTTATCTAATGCTTTTTCTAGGAATCCTGAGGGAAGATTGATGATTAATTTTTATAAGCCTTGTGTATGCCAGACAGAGGAAGAGTCACTCTTACTTTGCAAACAGGGCTGTGTTTGAAATGTTTTCCTTCAGGACCCTGGAGTCCATGGGCAGTCTGGGAAATGTCTAAAAACCAGCTTTCTGAAGGAAAAAAAATGTACCAGGACACAATTTTCAGTTTAATCTGCATTATTAACATTTTCTCAAGCTCTGAAGTCTAGATAATTGATGAAACAATAAATCAAGCCCTGATTTGCAATTTGCTGATTTTAGAGGTGTAAATGCTCAGACTGAAAATTTAACAATCAGCTCTTGACCAGTTGGAGCTGATTCCAGCACACCCCTGCTTGGGTCTTAGGACTGTGGGGGTGAAAGTATCTCCTTATGCCCTCAAATCTATCCCTCTACAACTGTTAATCCATTTTGGACTCTGTTTCATCATTTCTTTCCTTGTTTCTTTTCTTCCTCTTTACTCTGTCCTTCCTTTCTCCTTTTCTCTATAGACACTCATTGGAACTCTAAAACTTTATCAGAAAGACAGAAGACTGATTATGTCTTCACCTCTCCACTGCACCCCTCAATAGACTACAATGATTCTCTGTTACCTTCAGGATCAAATATAAAATCCTCTGTTTAAGGGCCTTCTTGGCCTGGTCCCTTTCTTACTTCCCTGTCTTCTTACAATTTACTCTCTACATACTCAAAGATCTAGTGACAACAACCTTATTCCCCTCTCATACATTCATACATGACAAGCCGTATCCTGAGAATCCTTTTTTTTTTTTGTTTACTGGCTGTCTCTCATGTCTGAAATTTTCTTCTTCCTCTCTGCCCCCTGGGTTTCCTTGGCTTCCTTCAAGACTTAACTCAAATCCCACTTTCTGCAAGGGGCCTTTTCCAGTTCCTGCACCCACTCCCACCCAGTGCCTTTCCTCTGGGATTACCTCCCATTCACACTGTATGTAATTTGCTTGTATGTTGTTACAGTTTGCTGATCATCTTACTCATCTCAGTGGAAGCTCTATGAAAGGAGCAGGGGCTTTTTTTTTTTTTTAAGTTTCTTTATATTTCCAGTTCTCAGCACAATTATCACTAAGGCAGCTAAGTGGCCCAGTGCTTAGAGTGAGTTCAAATCTGGCCTTAGACACTTGTTATCTGTATGACCCTGGGCAAGCCACTTAACCTCTGTCTGCCTCTGTAAAATGGAGATAATAGTGTCACAGTGGTGTTAGGAAGATCAAATGAAATGACATTTGTAAAGGACTTAGAACAGTGCCTGACACATAGTAGGTACTTAATAAATGCTTAGCTACTTCACCTAGTGTGTGCTTAACGAATGATTATCGACCTGATCCCAGCTCTAGGTGTGGGCAGAATGAGTAAGGGAATGCATGTGGAATGTGACTTGAGGAGGAGGGAAAGGCTCCCTCCCTGCTAGTCTCTCACCAGTCTGCTGCAGGTACCTGCCCAATTCCTACCAGGTGGAATTCAGGGAAGGCTCTACACGTGTCCACAGGTATCAGGAACCTCAGAAGGATAAGTCACAAAATCACTAAATTTATGCTTTCTCCAGACCTGCCAGGGTCTTTGCTATTTGTTCAACCTGTAATTCAGAGAGGACAGATAAAGAGGCTGAATAAACAGGAAAACCACCCTGTTTGCTGACACTACACAGTGTTTAAAAAGGAACTGTTTGATGTTTGCAAAGCCGTTTAGAGATCTAAATTATCTGATTCCTTGGGAGTGCCTGTTCTATAGGAAGAAAACTCAATACTCCTTGGACGCTGATTATTTGCATCCTTCAACTAAATTCTTGCTTTAGTTCCTATTTTGTTTTCAAAAACATTTCCTTTTTCCCATCTTACTATTTTTTCTGTCTGTTTGATTATTTCCTTTCTTCCTATCGTTCCATTATGTCCTTCTTCTCCATTTAGGCCTTTCCATTTTGTAGAACGGGAATGCCTGGTGGTCTCGTTTACGCTTTCACGCTGGTCCATGCTTGTCGTCCATGCTTGTCGTATGATCACGGACGTCTTGTTTAACTCCTCGAATGCCATTCAGCCATAAAATGCGATAATAACATTGTACTATCTACCTCACAGGGTTGTTGCAAATGAAGTGTTTTAGTATGAATTACTATTATCATCATCATTATTCTTTAACTGCCTTTTTGGGAGTTTCTTTTTTTTTTGCACTTAATAGTGTTTTATTTGGGAAAGCATCTCTCTTGCTCCCTTCTCTGATTCCTCTTTGTGGTGGAGAGGTAACCTTTTGATTTTGGAGGCTAGTCAGTCAGAAGCATCTGTAGTTCCTTCCAAGCTAGAAAGATTTCCAGTTTGGAAATCATACTCAGTGACAGAGGGTTAGCTACCCTGGGAGGACTTTGTTTTTGTTTTTGCTTCAGCAACTCATTAAATCCTTTACTAAGGTATGGTGGAATAGTGGAGGGAGAACCTCATATCTGCTACTTACAACCTGTGTGACTTTGGGCAGGTCATTTAACTCTATCTGTTAAATGGGGGAATTGAACGAGACAGCCTTTGAAGTTTTGTCCAGCATTAAAGGTATGTATGATTCTATATACAGGTGAAATTGAGCATCCTTTAAGTATTGAAGTAAAATAATATTTGCATTTCATAGGGTAAAAATTCAAATACTGTACATAAGGTGTACTCTTAAGCACAAAATGACTGGTTGCTGGTGGGAGACTCACTCTCATATCAGCTGTTTGTATGCACTGACTTGCAAAAGTAAAAATGAACACCAAAGTAGAAGAAAATGAAGACAAGATGGTGATGTTATGGGCAATTACAATGGCACCAACTTGACCTTTAAAAAAATCCGCTGTTAATACTAAAAAATAGGAAATAGATGACATTTCCTCTGATTATTACCATTAAGTTAAACAGACATATAGCAATTGCCATAAAAAGAGGCCAAAAGAGCTCAAAAAGATATGATGGCCAAGGTTAACACCATTTAAGAGTACAACTTCATTTTTTTCCTCTTTCACTTAATAGTACTTTATTTTTCCAATTACATGTAAAGATAGTTTTCACTGTTCATTTTTGCAAGATTTTGAGCTCCAAATTTTTCGCCCTCCCTCTCTCCCCTTCCCCCTCCCCAAGATAGCAAGCAATCTGATAAAGGTTAGACATGTACAATCATGTTAAACATATTTCCACATTAGTCATGTTATGAAAGAAGAATCAGAACAGAAGGGGGAAACCACAAGAAAGAAAAAACAACAAAAAAAAACCCAACAAAAAAGTGAAAATAGCATGCTCAATCTGCATTCAGACTCCACAGTTCTTTCTCTAGATGTGGATGGCATTTTCTATCATGAGTCTTTTGGAATTGTCTCAGACCATTGTATTGTTGAGAAGAACTAAGTCTATCATTGTTGATGTTACTGTGTACAATGTTTTCCTGGTTCTGCTTACTTCACTCAGCATCAGTTCAGTTAAGTCTTTCCAGGTTTTTCTGAAATCTGCCTGCTCATCATTTCATATAGAACAAAAGTATTCCATTACATTCATATACCACAACTTGTTCAGCCATTTCACAATTGATGGACACCCCCACAATTTCCCATTTTTTGCCACCACAAAAAGGCTGCTACAAATATTTTTGTGTATGTGGGTCCTTTTCCCTTTTTTATGATCTCTTTGGGACACAGGCCTAGTAGTGGTATTGCTGGATCAAAGAGTATGAACAGCTTTATAGCCCTTTGGGTATAGTTCCAAATTGCTCTCCAGAATGGTTGGATTAGTTCACAACTCCATAAACAATGCATTAGTGTTCCAATTTTCCCACATCTTCTCCAACACCCATAATTTTCCTTTCCTGTCATATTAGCCAATCTTATAGGTGTGAAGTGGTACCTCAGAGTTGTTTTAATTTGCATTTCTCTAATCAATAGTGACTTAGAGCATTTTTTCATGTGACTAGCTTTAATTTGATAGCTTTAATTTCTTCCTCTGAAAACATCCTGTTCATATCCTTTGACTATCTGTCAATTGGGGAATGACTTTAATTTTTATAAATTTGACTCAATTTTCTATATATTTTAAAAATGAGGCCTTCATCAGAAACACTGAGTATAAAAATTGTTTCTCAGCTTTCTGCTTTCTTTCTAATCTTGGTTGCATTGGCTTTGTTCGTGCAAACCCTTTTTATTTTAATGTAATCAAAAGTATCCATTTTGTATTTCATAATGTTCTCTATCTCCTGTTTGGTCATGAATTCTTCTGGTCGCCATAGATCTGATAGGTAAACTATTCCTTGCTCTCCCAGTTTGCTTATGGTATCAGCCTTTATAGCTAAATCATGAAACCATTTTGACTTTATTTTGGTATATGGTGTGAGATGCTGGTTTATGCCTAGTTTCTGCCATAGTATCTTCCAGTTTTCCCAGCAGTTTTTGTCAAATAGTGAGTTCTTATCCCAGAAACTAGAGTGTTTGTGTTTATCAAACAGTAGATTACTAAAGTCATTTACAACTGTGTCTTGTTTACCTAACCTGCTTCATTGATTCACCACTCTATTTCTTAGCCAGTACCAAATAGCTCTGATGGTTGTCACTTTATAATATAGTTTTAGATCTGGTATAGCTATGTCACCTTCCTTTGCATTTTTTTTTCATTAATTCCCTTGGCATTCTTTATGTATGATTGGTATGGCACTAAATAAATTAATTAATTTAGGTAGAATTGTCATTTTTATTATATTAGCTCAGCCTACCCATGAACAATTGATATTTTCCTGATTGTTTAGACTAACTTTGTGTGAAAAGTGTTTTGTATTTGTGTTCATATAGTTCCTGAGTTTGTCTTGGCAGGTAGACTCCCAAATATTTTATATTGTCTACTGTTATTTTAAAAGGAATTTCTTGTTCTACCTTTTACTGATGGACTTTGTTGGTAATTTATAGAAATATTGATGATTTATGTGGGTTTATTTTATATTCTGCAACTTTGCTAAAGTTGTTAATTGTTTCAAGTAGTTTTTAGTTGATTTTCCAGGATTCCCTAAGTATACCATCATATCACCTGCAAAGAGGAATAGTTTTGTTTCCTCATTGCCTATTCTAATTCCTTCAGTTTCTTTTTCTTCTCTTATTGCTGAGGTTAACATTTCTAGTACAATATTGAATAATAGTGGTGATAATGGCCGACCTTGTTTCACTTCTGATCTTATTGGAAATGCTTCTAACTTATCCCCATTTACATATAACGCTTGCTGATGGTTTTAAATAGATGCTACTTATCATTTATCATGGCCCTTTATTACATGTAATTTTTATTATATCATGATCTGAAAAAAGATGCACTTAATATTTCTTTTTGCATTTGATTGTGAGATTTTTATGCCCTAATACATGGTCAATTTTTGTGTAGGTGCCATGTACTGCTGAGAAAAAGATTTATTCCTTTCTATACCCATTCAATTTTCTCCAGAGGTCTATCATATCTAACTTTTCTAAAATTGTATTCACCTCCTTAACTTCTTTTTTGTTTATTTCGTGATTAGATTTATCTAGCTCTGAGAGGGGGATGTTGAGTTCCCCTAGTAGTATAGTTTTTCTATTTCTTTCTGTAACTCACTTAACTTCTCTAAGAATTTGAATGCTATACCACTTGGTGTATATATGTTTAGTATTGATATTACTTCATTTTCTATTGTATCTTTTAGCAAGATGTAGTTTCCTTATCTCTTTTAATTAGATCTATTTTTGCTTTCACTTTTGCATTGTCTGAGATCATGATTGCTACCCCTGTTTGTTTGTTTTTTTTTACTTCAGCTGAAGCATAATATTCTACTCAATACAATGATGCCAAGCACTGGAGTTACAAAGGAGCTTATATTGTAATGGAGGAGGTAACATATTTATAAACAAGATACATATAGAATAAATTGGAGATAGTCAAGGGAGAAACCACTAACAATAAAGGGAAAGGAAAAGACTTCTTGTAGAAGATGGAATCTTTTCTGGGACTCAAAAAAAGCTAAGAAAGCCAGGCATGGAGATGAGGAGGAAGAAAATTCCAGGCACGGGGGAAAGCTAGCAGGAAACCTCTGTGAGTAGGTGTAATTTGGAAGGAAAGTCCCTCTCTCTCTACTCCCTCTGGCTTTCTAAAACTCTACTTCTCTGGGTGTTAATTCTACATTTAGAACTTTCTTTTTATGACATTCAAACAGTACCTTTTTTCCTTTGCAAAAATGTAACTACCCCAGGTAGAGGGAGCATGTTAGCATTTTATAGATTTCTGACAAGCTGAGAAGCACTCTAAAAAAAAATTCCTCAACCAAGGGTTGACTTTGCTCCTTGGGCAGCACCTCATTGTTATGTCAGTGCTCAACTGGCCATGACAATGAAGGACATGTCAATGATAGTGTTAATCACACTTCCAAAGGCTTAAGGTAAGGCAGCACCAAGAGCAGCTACTTTATAGACGCCTATCTCAGAGCAAAATTTTGGAGGCAGAAAGAAAAATTTCTGTAAGCCTCAGTTCAGCTTCAGCTCTTCTCGGAGCATAGCTGATTTGGCAAGCCTTCACAGGAAGAAGATAAACCGTCAGGAGTTTAACAAGGACACAGAAAATCCAGCTGGATTCTACTATGGTACATTACAAATAATCAGCTTTCTGAAGGACGTAAGTAACACCCCCTTCCCCCCCCCCCTTATAAAGTGGGATGATGTGCTCACTCACTACTCTTTTGTTGTGTTATTATTTATTGGAACAGCAACTTCATTTAGTGTGGGAAATTCCCTCCACCGATGAAGATTAGGGGCTTATAGTCTTAGAGTTGTCTGGGGTACCGAGATAAAGACTTACCCAGGGTCTCACAGCCCTGTGTGTCAGAGGCAGCATTTGAATCCAGGTCTTTTATACACTACACCATGCCTCCTCTCAGGGCATTATTAGATGCTGCATTATCACATACCTTTGTCACTTACGTAATAAATGAGAAGACTAGACTTGAATTCCTGCCCCACCTCCAACCCCCTCCATCCTGTAAAGAGGAAATCTTTACAGTAGTAGCTCCTCAGCTGATGATTTGGGGTTCTTCCTCGGTCTAGTTTCTACCCCCATCCACCAGTCCGCGCCCTCTGCCTCCCTTCCTCCCCGTCAGGTTCACTCCTGCTTTTTCTCAAAGTCGGTAGTGATCACTTTCTTGGCTCCTCCCAGCTCATTTCCCTCAGCCCCTCGGATTCTTACCTTAAATTCCAGCGGCGGAGTCTGGGAGCAGCGTCTTTCCCTGCCCCTCCTACTATTGGCTGCGGTAGCTGCCGGGAGCGTCTGTGGCTCTCTCTGGCTCTGTTCCCCGGACTGAAGCTGCAGAGGGAAAGCGGGAGGACGACGAAGGGGACCATGAGTGCTGTGTCCTCCCTGGGCGGCTCTCTCTTACCACTCCGCCTGGTGATGCTCCTCCCTGGTCTCTCCTGCCTCACTCAGGACTTCGTTTTTCCTCCAGAATGGGGCTTCTCCTCCTACGAAGTGATCATCCCCAGGCAATTGGGACCCCGCAGTGGGGACCCAAAGGTGGCCGGGCAGGTGTCCTACCTTCTGCGTGTGGACGGCAAAAAGCACGTTGTTCATTTGCAGGTCAAAAAGCTTCTGTTGTCTAGACACCTGCGGGTTTTCTCCTTCACAGAGTGGGGAGCCAGACTGGAGGACCAACCTCACATCCCCGAAGATTGCAACTATGGCGGTTATGTGGAGGGCTCCCCGGACTCCCAGGCTACCTTAAGCACCTGCTTTGGGGGACTTCGAGGGATACTGAACATGAATGGAAACTTTTACCAGGTGGAGCCTCTGAAAGCCTCCACCAGGTTTGAACACATATTATATCGCCTGAGAGAGGAGGCAGTCACAAACCAGACCTGTGGTCTAACTGACAGAGATACAGTCGGTCATTTAGCCCAGAGCCAGAGCCTGGAGGCTTTTGGCAAGACAGATTTTTCTCACTCCTATATCCACTTAAAGTATATGGAGTTGATGCTTGTGATGGACCACAATAGGTATTTGACTAGAGGCTCCAATATGACCCAGATAATTTCTGACTGCCTTACCTTGTCAGGAATAGCAGATGCAAACTTCAAAACCCTGAATGCTCACATTCGTCTGATAGCCATTGATGTATGGACAGATGAAAATAAAATAGATGAAAATGGGGACAAATTAATACAAGTTTTACAATTCTTTTCTTTCTATAAAAAACATGTTCTTTATCCTCGGATCCCCATGGATTGGGCTCACTTATTTGTTGGCAAGCACTTTGGGGATGCTGCAGGATGGGCTTGGGTCTCTGGTGCTTGTCATTCATTTACAGCATCTTCAGTAAGCACTCTACCCTGGGGAGTTGACCTTGACTACGCTTTGGCCTTTGTTCACGAAATGGCTCATGGCTTTGGCATGGCCCACGATTCAAAGTTCTGTGTTTGTGGGGCAAAAAGGTGCCTCATGGATGCTTCCTTGGGAGGCAGGACTTTCAGTAATTGTAGCTTTGACAGTTACTTTAATTTTGTCACCAAGAAAGGAAAATGTCTGTATAACATCCCAAGCATGGTGTACAGGGTAGAGAAGTGTGGCAACAAGGTGGTGGAGCAGGGAGAGGATTGTGACTGTGGCTCCGAAGCAGAATGTCGGCATGATAAATGTTGTTTGCCAACTTGCAAATTTAAACAAAGGGCCCAGTGCAACTCTGGTCTTTGCTGTAAACGCTGCCATTTTCGTCCATCTGGAAAAATATGTAGACCCAAGAGGACTGAGTGTGATCTTGATGAGTTCTGCAATGGGACCACCAATCTCTGCCCAGATGACTTCTATAAACAAGATGGCACCCCGTGTGGTAATAAAGAGACAGGACTTTGTTACCACAATCATTGCCATTCTCATCTCCAGCAGTGCAGAAGACTTTTTGGCCATCGAGCCCAGAATGGCCCGGCTCGCTGCTATGCACAAATCAATCGAGGTGACCGCTTCGGCAATTGTGGACTCAAGGACGTTAAATATAAGCGATGTAAACCTCAGGACATAATGTGTGGAAGAATACAGTGTGTAAATATAAGGGACATCCCTTCTATGCCTGATCACACTGCAATGATTCAGACGCATCTAGGGAATGTTGTATGCTGGGGAACAGATTATCATGCTGCAATGGCGACCATTAACTTACCTGATATGGGAGAGGTCAAAGATGGCACCCCTTGTGGCAAGGGGCTCATCTGTATTAACAGGTCTTGCCAGAGTAGCTCACTTCTCAATTATGACTGTGTCCCACAGAAGTGCAGCCATCGAGGAGCGTGTAATAACCGGAGGAACTGCCATTGTGACTCCGGATGGGCCCCTCCATTCTGCATAGAGCCTGGAGATGGAGGAAGCATTGACAGTGGACCTCCCTCGAAATGGGAGGGGAGAAAGAGTTTATGCAGGCACGTAAGGTGGAATCGTTTCACCTTCCCTGCCTCTTTTGTGGCCCTGTGTCAGTGGATGTGGTATACTTGTTTACTAAAAATAGATGAATAGTCATTTAAAAAATGCAAAGAATTCTCAGCAAAGGAGGCAGAAAGAGCATCTATAACTTGGGCCTTCCTTGAACAACAACAGACAAGATCATCTCATATATTTACAAAGATAGATGTTCTCAGTTTATTTTCTTTTATTGGAAAATAAACATTCATTTTTAAATGGGAAATGAGGCTGTTATGCTTTCTGCGTACTCTCTTTTTCAATTTTTCAATTAATTTATTTTTAATTATCAACAATCACTTCCATAAGCTTTTGAGTTTAAAAGTTTTCTCCCCCTCCCTCCCCAAGACGGCATGCAATCTGATATAGGCTCTACACATACGTTCCTATTAAATATATTTTCACATTAGTGATGTTGTAAGTAAGAATTAGAACCAATAGAAGGAACCACCAGAAAGAGGAAACAAAACACAACAGAAGAAAAAAAATTAGCAAATAGTATGCTTCAATCTGCATTCAAACTCCATAGTTCTTTCTTTGGATGTAGATGGCATTTTCCATCATGAGGCCTTTGGAGATGTCTTAGATCCTTGCATTGCTGAGAAAGGCTAAGTCTATCAATATTAGTCATTGCATAATATGGTTGTTACTGTGTACAACATTCTCCTGGTTCTGCTCATTTCACTCAGCATCAGACCATACAAGTCTTTCCAGGTTTTTCTCAAGTCAACCTTCTCATCATTTCTTATAGCACAGTAGTATTCCATTACATTCATATATCACACCTTGTTCAGCCATTCCCCAATTGATGGTCATCCTCTCAATCTCCAATTCTTTGCCACCACAAAAAGAGCTGCTATGAATGTTTTTGTACATGTGGGTCCTTTTCCCATTTGTTTGATCTCTTTGGGATACAGCCCTAGAAGTGCTATTGCTGGGTCAAAGGGTCTGCATACTCTCTTTGCCCTACAACTTCTGTTAAAGATTAAGGAATCCCATTGGACTGGCACTTTGAGTCTCCACATTAAGGGAACTGTCAGGTAACTCCAGGAATACTTCAGATAAAGTTGTCCCTATCAACATCATTTTGATAACTGTTAGTTTAGGCTCAGAAACAAAATAAGACCCTCTTAAGTCCATGGTATCTTGGTTCACGATAGCCCTAGTTAACGTCACTAGAGTGGGAGTTAATTCAAGCTTTCCCAGCTCCATTAGTGTACTGACTCAACACTACATGATGTGGCACCCCACCCCACTTGGGTCTTTCTAGGTTGACACACTCACTCTAACCTGAATTCATCCTGGAAGGTCTGGGTTTCTTCCCTCCCCCTCCCCCGAATGGAAGCAGGGGCTGGCTTCAAATCAGTGACTTAGTGATCAGTCACTTTCAGTGACTTAGGAGTAACCATAGTGTGGAAGCAATATGCATCCACATTGGCAACTATAGCTTCTGAGCCCCCATTGGTGTACTTTTCATGCATAAAAATCAGTCTCAATGACATCTTTGATCTTAAACATGAAACAACTACCAAATGAGAAGGTGAGGCAGAAAGGAGTATAACATAACCATTAATTAATGAAAGCAAAAGCAGGGATAATAAAAACATAACTCATAAACTTGGACCATACTATCCTACCAATATATGCAGTATTTGGGTAGGGGGAGTTACAGTGAATGTAAACTTGCAGAAATCTAACATTGAAGCATATGAGTAGGGAAACCTATGTGTCCAGAGAAACTCACAACTCTAAATTGCATTCATGGATGTCTCTGGTCTCTTCATGGAGCAGTCTGCATGAATATCATAATCTGAGCCTCAATTTCCTCATCTATAGAATTAAGGGTTTGGACTAAATGACCTCCAAAGTCTCTTCCAGTGCTTCAATTTTCTGATCCAAAAATTTTCTTTGTCAATGTTTGATCAACCTTCCTTGCTTGCCCAGGGTCACCTAGTAAATCGGTAATAAAGCCATGAAATAAATATGAATAAAAGACTGGTCAGACAGGTAAGAAGAGAAACAGAATAAAGCAGGATTGTGAAACTTGAAAAGGAGAGAATATCCTAGAAGTGACTGAGCATGTCAAAATTTGTAGAGAAAACCTCCTAAAAGGACAGAAAACCATCCTGTTTTTGAAAATCCCTGAAAGAAGTCATTTTTGAGTTATATTTTTGAGTAATCCTGAACAATAAAATTTCACAAGATAAAACACAGTTACAGAGCTCAGGTCTGAGTTCAGTTAACAGTTTCAATTCACTAAACAAAACAATGGACATTTATGATGTCTTTGAATCCTGGAGAACATTTTTTTTTTCTGAACCACCTTTGTGCCAAATGTAGAGATAAATTAGTATCTGTAGCTCTATTGGGGCTTCTTAAACTTTTCCCACTTGTGACCCCTTTAATGTTTCTTAAACTGTGGACTGCGACCCCATAAAATCAGGCTACTACTGTAATCCATTTTCCAGGAATTTAGAGTTCCTGCAGAAACTTGTACCAATTTTTCTCACAGAAAATAGTTAGACTGTTGGTAAAAGGGAAAACCTACTTAGTGTAGGACATCATTTCAGAATTGATAGTTAAAGAAAGATAGGTTTTTCATTCAGATTAGATTAAGAGCTTCAGACTATACTACTAATATTATTTTGTAATATGTAGCTTAGAGAAGGAACAGGGAGAGTACTCTGTATGCTTTCTCACAAAGATGCTAATGGGAATTAGTGAAATTGTAAGGCCATAAGAAGCTTGTCCAAGATTGTCCTTCTAAACTAGAAGAGCATGTATTCATAGTCATTAAATTAAAGATAGAACAAATACAACACTCTATTGTGTTTATTGTTGGCTAATTATTTTTTTTTAAAATGTTTGACCTGGCAAAGCAGGAAGAATCCCTAAAGTCTCTCTTCCAATAAGGTAACTCCCATACATATATTGAGATAATGCAAGATTACTAGATAGGTATGCCCACAGAGATGACTTTGTTCACTGATCCTCTGATTTTCTTTGTTTCTTTTTTGAGGCAATTGGTTGGGGGTAAGTGGCTTGCCTAGGGTCACACAGCCAGTAAGTGTCTGAGGCTGGATTTGAACTCAGGTCCCCCTGAGTCTGGGGCTGGCACTCTATCTACTGTGCCACCTACTGGTCCCTTCTCTGTTCTCGAATATCAAGTAAGATGTAGCATAGGAAGATACATATTTGTTAGACATGCTTGCCACTGTCATGGGGGATGTGCTTAGGATCCAAATGGAAAAGGAATTCCTGATAGACGAGCTTCTTGACGTGCTCCTGTTTGTAGAGAACCTGATTATTTGATGCTACTCCAGAATACTAACAGCAGTCTATTAGTAAATATTTAACAACCAGCTTTTTTGGGGGGAGGGAGTATGTAAAATCCACTTTTAATATTAATCTACATTATTAACATATCTTCCCTCACTTTCTTAAGTCTAGACAATTAAAAAAAGGATGCCTCAGGTTCTGATTTGTAGCATTTGCTGATTTCTGAGCTATACATGCTCCTATAGAACATTTAACAATCGACTCTCGGGTTTGAGCTGGCTCCATTATACCCATAGCGACTAGGCTTTCTCAATAAGACCTAAAGCCATTTAGAACATAAGGACAGGAGCAATCCATGTGGGAAGAATCAGGGAGATGAGCAATGAACATTGCCTGGACTGCAGCATGCAATTGGAAAGGCAGCATCTTGAATTAGTACATCAGTACATAGAGTTTGGACATGGACAACGAACTGCAGGAGGAGGGGAAGAAGAGCGAGTTGAATTTCATTTGGGAAATCAAACAGTACTTTCAGTATCTCATATTATTTCTTGATACGAAAATTCATCTTTTAAAACCAGTGGAGATTCCAATGCCTTCAAAATCAGGTACTGTTACAGACTCCTATATATTCTTGTTTTCAGATTAGACAGTATTTGTCTCTTTTTTTTGTTTTGTTTTTAAACAATTTATTTATTAATTTTTAGTTTTCAACATTCACTTCCATAAGCTTTTGAGTTTTAAATTTTCTTCTCCTCTCTCTCCCCTCACCCAGACGGTGTTCAGTCTGATATAGGCTCCACTTTTACATTCATATTAAGCATATTTTTGCATTAGTCATGATGTAAAGAAGAATTAGAACCAATGGGAGGAACCACGAGAATGAAACAATAAAACAAAACAACAAAAGAAATGGAGAGCAAATAGCAGGCTTCCATCTACATTCAGATTCCATAGTTTTTTCTCTGGATGTGGATAGCTTTTTCCATTATGAATCTTTTGAAGTTGTCTTAGATCTTTGCATTGCTGAGAAGAGCTAAGTCTATCAAAGTCAGTTATCACACAGTGTGGCTGTTACTGTGCACAACGTTCTCCTGGTTCTGCTCATTTCATTCAGCATCAGTTCATATAAGTCTTTCTAGGTTTTTCTGAAGTCTGCCTGCACATCATTTCTTATAGCACAATAGTATGCCTTTACATTCATATACCACAACTTATTCGGCTGTTTCCCAACTGATGGGCATCCCCTCAATTTCCAATTCCTAGTCACCACAAAAAGAGCTGCTGTAAATATTTTTGTATATGTGAGTCCTTTCCCTGCTTTTATGATCTCTTTGGGATACAACTAATATTTCTTAATTGCTTACCATGTGCCAGGCAGTAAGCCCTAGTTTTCTGCTGCTCTTTGCTAATCAGGTTTTCCACTTCCTACTAGCTTGGAGTCTTCACTTTTCCATTCTTCAGAAAAACTTAAAAGAAATTGGTTTCTGACCCCTGTGTGTCAGACTCAATAATATAATTAAATGACAAAAGTTACATGTGGACCACAAAGCCCTGGGAAAGGACATTTTCCCAGGAGACTTCTCCCATTGAGAAGAAGGCTTAGCTTGGGGGCTCCTTCTACAGTCAAGTCCTTGCAGAATGAAGGGGCTCATGCACAGTTGGAATGGCAGCCTCTCTTTTGGTTGTGAGCTCCTTGCTTTGCCACTCTTGGTAATAGAGAATGAGACATCTTTACTTCTCTTAGAATCTCGCAGCTTGGGGAGTGCCTAAGCAAACCACACTGCCAGCTGTGGAATATTACTTACTGTTCTGTAAGAAACAAATCAGAAGAATATAGAGAAGCATGGGAAGACTTACAAGAACTGATGCGAAGT